GAGCCGTGTCCAGGTGCTTAGGGCCATCTCACGTCTACCGTGGTTCGTTTCAGTGGGGCCGGGCTGCCTCGACGCCAGCACCTCGCTCCTGCTGAGCAAACTTTCCTCTCGTCCCTGCCAAGGAGAAAAGCTCCCTGGAAAGTGCAACACTAGGCACTTTTTTGGGGGATAGTCCAAAGGTAAGACACCCTCCTGTAGCCCAGAGCACCGCGGTGATGCGCTATCTCAGGAGCCCGCGTGGTCCCCCCGAGGCTGCAGCGTGGTCTCAGGGGGGTTGGAGAGCTTTGGCCTTCCCAGGAACATCCCAGCATGGGGTGTGTGTGCGGTGCTTTCCACACCGAGGGGAGGAGTGCTGGGCCTCATCCCAAAGCCCAGTGCGGTGCTTTCCACACCGAGGGGAGGAGATGGATCAGTGCTGGGCCTCATCCCAAAGCCCGTCTCAGCCAATTCATGTGCTCCTGTGGATTAGAGCAGATGGGAACGTTGTTGCTGTCCTCCTGGCTCAACAAGACGGAACATCTTGTGCTGTTTTGCAGCTCTGCCGATGGGGCACTGAAGTGAAATTAAAGTAAAAATAAAACCAGAGCTGTAACAGCGTGCTGCACACATCTGAGTCCCCTCTGCTTGCCGGTGCTTGAATGCTGGTGGATAAGCGTTGAGGGAGCCGGGGACCTCAGGCCAAGCATGAAGGTGTCAGAGGTGTGCTGGGAGCAGCGTGGCCCTCGCTTTGCTCCCTTGGCTGACGTCCTCCTCGCTGGCTTTTCATGTGCTGCATAAATCTCTCCTCGGCTGCTCTGCTCAGTGCTGCAGCTGTCATGTCGTACTGCGCCATCAGCTTCTGCCTGCCTGTGGTGCCTTGACATGACTCTGCGCTTGTCGAGCTTTGCTTTGCTCCCCTTTCCACGGCCCTTCTCTTTGCACCAACTCCTCCTTGCTGTGGTATTCCCTCTTGGCTTTTGCTTTCCAATTTTTGGGCTGGCTGCCTTCCCTGTGAAGATGCTTTTTGGGCTCAGAGCAATGCTCTTGCTAGATCTGTGTGCTGTCCCCGCTCCCATGTGGTCCTCTCCTGCTGTGCCCATGGCTACCATCCACATTGCTCTGAACGTGCCCTCTGAGGCCGCAGAGGAGGGAGCTGATCCTGTGCACAGCAACAGCCAGAAGCTAAGGGAGAGCGGAGGAGGATGGCAGGGCTTGGCCCCAGAGAGAGTATGAGCTCCCAGAGCAGGGAAAATGGGTTCCCCGCGGCTTTGGGGCTGATAGATGGTCCATGGTGCTATGAAGGTGCCCTGGTTTAGATCCTTGCTCCCCAGCACTTGCATAGCAGATGTAGTATGTAAGGAGACCTATGGATATCATGCTTTTTGCCCTCGCCACCATGATCAGTAGGCTGCCATAACATATCCCGTAGCCATCTGGCATTAACAACAGGAGTCTCTGTAGCGAACCTCCAGCACGGTTATTGCTTTACGGGTTGAGGTTTTGAAGCTTTTTTCCTTTTCTCAGAAAACAAGCAGAGAGGAAAATGTGCCTTTGCAATGAGCACTGCTGTCTGAGAGGTTTGTAGCTGATTCTTAAGTTTAGCGTAGGATTAGTCTGATCCCTGGGTAATGCCTTATCAAGATAAAGCATCTTGAATTGTAAAGCCAGGGAAGCCCAAGAGAGGCAAAATCCCTTTGTTTAGGTTAAAGAGAAGCATTTTCTTGACAGTGGCTGAGATTGGTCATATTTTTCTTTTTCTTCTGCAACTCTGCAAAGAGATGCCAAATTAACACCCCAGCCTGGCGCCTTCATCATGCGGGCTCTCCAGCTAACGGGGTTGTGCGGACCCTCCGGCTCTTCCAGCTCCATCACCGGTTGCAAGAGGGGCTGACAACTGCTTCAGCCACTGAAATCCTTGGGAAAACCCTCTCTGACATGGAAAGGTTTCCTGTGGAACACGCACGCCTTCCTTCCACCCTCTTTCACATCCCAAGCTGTGAGGCTTTTGCATTGCCCTCTGCAGAGTGGTGGCCCACCGTAAATCCTTCAGTTGTTCAGGGTTGCCTGGGACTGTGCTCCTCTTTGCCTTTGCTTGCAATGGTGCCAAGAACCAGAAATTGCACAGGATTGTTTATTTTTCAAGCTGATGCCTGAGCCTTCAGTGGGTAAGGAGATCTGCTTTCCCATACCCACCTTCAGTGACCTAATGTCCCAGTCATCCATTTGCAGAGCCTTCAGTGCAGCTTATCTGTAAGTGGTTGACATAGAAACGTTAACCTTTCTCTTTTCGTGTCTTTTCCCACCTGAAGAAGTTGCTTGGGCTATTTATAATTTGAGTATGTGCAGAATACCCAGGAGAGGGACTGCAACTGGAGGGCTGAGCTGGCTGTGAGCTTTGAGCGTGGGCAAACTGGCAGCGAGGTCTTTCTGTTTGTTTTCCATGTACATCTTTGTGTATCTGCTCGCTTACCTGCAAAACAGAATCATTTTGAGGTTTGACATCTTCTTTGAAAGAGGCTGAACCTGTATTATTGAAGTGGTGAAATTACTGTGTGATCTTGCCAGGCTTTTCTAAGTGAAATATTTGAAACAAATCACAGCAATGGGCTGAATGCATCACACAATATCTGCTATATATAATTAGAGGCTTCCCAAGCACCAGCAGTGACCATGGAATGTGCTGGGGTCCCTGTTGTTTCTGGACCACTCATGACACTGGCCTTGCTTGGCTGTGAGTTCCCGTCGGATGCTCTGGGGTCACCAGCCCGTTGGCCGATTTGTGGTTGTACTCGTCCTGCCCCAGCTCTCGTGGCCTCTCGTGGGAAGCGGGGACCCGGCGAACCCGTGGCCAGACGCTGCTCTGTCACCTCCTCCTCTCCGGGCTGGTGAGCATCTCCACTGTGCTGCAGCTTCCACCATCGGCTGCTTCTCCCTCTCCAAATAAGCAGTTCACTACGCACCATCTGTTGATTTTAATTTCCCATAATTTGTTTCCATGTATATGTAATTTGTTCTTTCATTAATTGTGCTGCTGAGTTTCTTATTCCATGAGACTTGCTTTGCAACGGGGAAATCATTGTGGTTTTTCCCCTCTGTCAAAGCTATTTTCGTTATTGACACAAATGAGCACTTTTGTCCTTTTGAATTTTGCTCTCTGGGCAAGTCTTGCTTAAAAAGAAATCTTTCAGAAGAGCAGCGCCAGACCCATTTGCGTGGAGCTTCATAACGTCCTCATAGCCGTACTGAGCACAGCCGTTAAACGTCTTTTAAAAAGATCTGCTTCCCGAAGTTTGCTTTAACTGCCTGCAGAGCAGAGACCTTCCAAGCCATCACCATCTGTGGGTGCAGCCCCTTTGGCAATGCAGCCCTCCACGGCTCTGCTCCTGCCCCCGGGTGCTCGCCCACCTCCCGGGCAGGCAGTGTTGGGGCAGCGTAAGAGCTTTTCACGTGAGCTTTTGCACAAGTGTGTGATCCCTCCCGGGTCTGGTGCGTGCCCCGTGCGCCTCGGTTCCTCTGACTGTTTTACTAGGTGGAGTTATCACCCAGTCGTGGTATTTTAGGGACAGTTCGGAGTCTCCTTACCCCGTAACCCTGTACGTAGGGTTGATTGCTGCTGTCGTTTTCCCTGTCTCCATCCTGAGCCTTGGCACAAACCTTGGATCAGGGTTCTGAGGAGTTGTCAAATGTTCCAGTTCTCTGTGCTCAGCCTGGACTCGAGGATGCAAATGCCATGATTATTCGAGTTAGTGCTGCTTTTTATGGTGTGTTTCCAAGGCAACTGGAAATTCAGAAGACCACAAACACACACACGGTCCTCTTCTTCTGAGACCTTATCCTCCAGTACGCAGGTAAACACCCTCAGTGACATTTTCAGCCTGTTTGAATGCTCATCTGAACAGTCCCCACTGTCCCCTCGCAGGGCTGCCAGCGGCAGGAGCAGGTAATTGCCTCCTTTGAAGGCTGTAAAACCCATCCAGCTACACAAACAGGTTTGCTTTTGTTCTTTGAATGTCGGGCCCCAACCCCGCCTTGCTCGGAGGGGAGCAATACCAGAGAGGCTGCAAAAACAAAAATGAGGATTTTGAACAAAGGGAAAAAAGTAGCAGTGGTTTGATGCTTTCTGCAAATAAGATTTTTTTTTTTTTAATTTTTTTTTCTGGGAGGGATGAGGGAGCTGTGCCGGTGGTGGGAGGGTAAGAAAAGTTTGAGAAAAGGCAGGAGGGGAACGGGGAAGGATGGAGCAGTTATCCACGAGGAGCTGCACGGAGGAGGCAGTGGCGGATCGCCGGTCTCCCGCACCCGCTGCCCTCCTGGGGAGGCTCCTCGGCTGGCTTTCTTTGGGGTTTATGGGAATAACTAATCTAAAATTATGGGATGAACTGTAATCTAAAATAATCTGCAAGGTGGGAATTTTCTCGTGGAGTTTGGGTTTCCTTCTGCTTTGGAGAGTGACTGTACAGCCATTGTGCTGGTATTTGGGCATGGGGAAACCAGAAACCGTGGAGGTGGTTGCTCTGAGCCTGGTCCTGGCTTAGCGCAGCTCCCGGGGACTTCTTGGGAGAAGTTGGCGTTTGGTTCTTCCGCAGTCCCCCGTGGCACCAATTCGTCTGCACCTTGCAGAGATGCCTCTCTGCAAAGAGGTTTGCTGAGCCTGAACCTTTTTGACCAGACTTTGGTGTTTTGCGCTGCTGTGCTCCTTATTGAAATAGCATTTCAGCTGGTGGGGATTGTGATCTTTTCCCCTCCGGTGCACTCATAAATACAGAAATCTCTCTGTGTTGGCTTCCCAAGAAACTGTTGTTTTGGGTTCATGGTGGAGAAGTACCCCGGGCAGCGTGGCAGGCTCTTGCATTGAGCTTAGATTAAATGCACTTAGGTTAAAACGAGAAGGGTAGCGACCTGGCCCGGTGTCCTGCTTTCCTGCTCGTGCCAGTCTTCGCTCTGTTGGAGCGCAGGAGGAGGGATGGTCTCAGGACTGTTGCAGGGTTTGACCTTACTGGGTTTTTTCCTTCCTGTTTCAGAGGGTCTGGCAGTGGGAGTTGGATTCGGGGCTATTGGAAAATCTGCGTCTGCGACCTTCCAAAGCGCCAGGTAAGCCACAACGCCGCTTCTGCTCTGCATGCATCAGGTTTTGTGCATGCCTTTGCCTCTTGGAGGTTGTCTGTCTGTCCCACATTGCTCCTGTGCCAGGGTGGCTGGAGATGTGTTGCTTGTCTGGAAGCACAAGTGTGGGCAGAGGGAGCAGAAGAAATTCCTAGTGCTGTTGCATTTTCCTAGTGGTTGTGCTTGTCAGACGTGACAGAAATGCCGAGATTTTCCACAAAAGCAGCATCCCCAACGGGTAGGAGCAGCTGCCAGAGCTGTTGGAAAGCATGCTGCGGCTTTGTTTTCCATTCCTGCCAAGCAGGGCCACTAGTCTCTGTCACTGGTGGCAATAAAGACTCGATCCTCCCGGCATCCCTGCTCACCTGCTCCCGGCATCCCTGCTCACCTGCTTCAGCCTCGCCAGCAGCCGCTCTCGCCCGGCTCTGTTTTTGGCAGCACCAGCATTGCCCCCGTGCTACCAGGCAAAACCTTTTATGCTTCTCTCCAGGACTGGTGTGAACATGGGGGGTTAATTCAGCTCCTCTAAACTGCCTGGTGGGGGGGAGTTAGGCTTTGGGTGCGTTTTTATACCAAGCGGGAGCAAAACCTGGGCGTACAGGGTGGGTGACGGTAGGGAGAGCCCTGCTGCTTCCCCACACCCAGCCTCACCCGGCAGAGCTGAAACCGGGCTGAGTTGGGGGCATTGCTAAAGAAATGGGAGAAAGGAAGAAGTGCGGTGCGAAGCAGGAGCTGGAGGAGCTGCCTCGGCTCTGAAAGAGCTGTTGGCACCTCTTGGCGGCTGGCTCGCAAATGGCACCTTCCTGCTGAGGCTCCTCGATGTGCCGTTACCAAATGCTTTTCTTTTTTTGTTTGAATTTTACACCTGAGGCTCGTGGCACACCATGTTCTCTTTGCCCTTTGTTTACCGGACCCATGCTGTAATTCATGTGGTTTGGGGACACGCAGTGTGTTCAGTCTGCGAATAACCTGCCCGGCCCTTATGGCTCGTGGGTGCAAGTCCCAGTATGTCTCAGCCGCCTTGTTCCTGCCAGAGGATCTGCGGGGCCTCAGGGCTGGTTTTGGAGCCCTCCAGGTTGTCCGGCCCCTTCTCTGGCTGGGCACAAGCTGTGCTCATAAGGACCCTGCAAAGACACGAGCAAAACCTTCTGTACCTGATGCCCTGTCACATCCCTGGCTAGTGGGGGACCCATCCTGACAGCACGGGCTGGCACCAGGTGCGCTGCCCCAGGCGCTTCGATCGCAGCAGATACCATCCAGATTTGTGGTGAGAAAAGCAGGATACACCGGCGCTAGACACTGCGTTTCTCTAACCTTTTGAAATAAAAGGCTCTTCATAAAGTCTGCAGAGGCTCTAGAGGTGCTTGAACAAAAGGACTTCTTTTCATCAGCTGCTCAGCAGAAGCTAAGAAGCCAGAAGCAGCTGGTTCTTTCTCTATATTTACAACAGCATTAATCGTGTTAGATGAAAGGTGGAGTGTGTACCATGAAAATACCAATGCAAATTTAGTCAGCTGCGAAAGGAGACAAAATAACTTCATCGCCATCAATCTGTCTGTCACTGTCATTTGCGGGCAGCCCAAAAATCGCTCGGTGTAGCCGCTGTGCCGTGAAGCCATTTGGAAATATCCATGAGTAAAAGTTTAGGTGGCTAATTTGTGTCATGTAGGCTTAAAAAACAGCAGTGGAATTATACTTGATGTGAGCTAATGTGAGAAATAGAGCTATATATTTTGACACATCCAAAGGGGAAATTGCTCCTTGGCCAACCTCAGCTCTTAGGGGACACGACAGTCGTGATCCCCCTCATGTCCATTATTTTGAAATAGCATTTTAATGAAACAGCTGCGTGACTCAGTTTACCTCCTCCATTCTGCTGCTGCTTCCCCCTGGGTGTGACTAACAGTATTAGCACCAGGCTGAGCTGGAGCTGGGATGAACTGCCTCTCAGGAAGGCTTGTTCCTTCAAAAGTATTTATGAAAGCTCCAACACGCTCAGAGCCCGAGCTGAAGATGCAGACACTTGGGGATGCTTGCAGTGGCTGGTAGATGTTTCCAGGGTTGGCTGTGACTTGTCCACGCTAACCAGAGGACCTTCCTCGCTGCCTTATGCTCGATGAATAAATGCTGGCTTGCCTGGGGAAGCGTTGCCTGATTGCAATCCTCCCAGAGGGGTGAAATCTCGGCAGGAGCCTGAATTCATTCCAGCTCGCTGTAGGGCCCTGGTGAAACATGGCCGTGCTGTATCCTGAAGGACTGTTTTCAGATCCACGGGCTTTGCAAATAAGCAGTGTGTTTGCAGAGAGACAATTAGGAAGGAGAGCACCAGCCGCTCTGCGAACCGCAGCGGTGCCGCAGCAGTGACGTCTGGGCGTTGCAAGCAGCCAGGTGCTGCTCTGGCCTGGTTTGCTGTCGAGCAAGCTCTCCGGGTGAACCCCTGTGCGCTGGAGCAGCTCAAGGGTGGGTGTTGCAACAGGGTCCCTGCTCGTCTCGGCCGTCTGTCACGGTCCCAAGTGCTTTGCTTTTTTCACGTAGCGCAGCAATGCTCCCCACCTTTGTTTGGATGAAGGTTAACACCCTGTTCCCGATACCTTGCAGGGATCCCGCGAGGCTTTTCGTAGGCTGAGGACTTTCCCCTGTGTTGGCAATTGGAAAGCTTCTCGGTGCTGCCCGCTGCCTGCGGCAGGAGGGGTGCTGCGGGGCTCCCGCCCTGGCCGTGCGCTTGGGGCTGTGCCGGTGCAGAGCTCAGCCCCAGCTGAGCATGGCGAGGGACCATTTTTGGGTTTTAAAGCACAAGTGGGGCCGGGTGTGCTAGAGATGGGGCTGGTTGGGAGCCGCAGTGGCTGGTAAGCACCGGCACGGGCAGCGTAAGCAGAGCACTGCAGGCACAGACCTGCAGCTGATGGTTCAAGTCAGGGGGACACTTTGGGGTTTGGTTAAAAACTAAAAAAAAAAAAAAAGGATGATTAGGAAGCAGGGTTGGATTCTCACCTTTTAAAACACCCGATGCTTTGCATGTGCTGGCATCACCTCTGCCATTCCCTGGTTCGATTCTCTGGGCTCCGGTAGGGTCCTGCCCCTTATCTCTGTGCTTGCAGGATCTGGCCCTCTGGGCTCCTCCATCCACCCCATCTCCCGGGAGCATCTCGGTGCTGCCTGCCAGGGCCCTGCCCGCACTCGTCCGCGTTTCTTTGCTGCCACCGGGTGTGCAGGCTCCGTTCCTGCGATCTCACTCCTCCGCGGCTCCTCTCCGCCAGTGCCAGGGCTCGCCCTTGGATTACAGCCCCTCGCCTTGCGAGTTGTTTCGTTTATGGCTTGCGGTGTGGGGGGAACCCCCTTTATTTGGCCTGTCAGGGGATGCCAGTGGAACGCAGTCCTGTGCCCGAGGAAGGTGGGGTCTCAGCGGCGGAGCTGGATCTTTACTTTCGTGCGCAGGTGGGTACCAGTGGTCCTTCAGCTGTGCCAAGGTTAGTGGGGCAGCACACCTGAGCCTTTCTTGGAAGGGTAATGTGGGTTTTAAGGCAGTTTAGACAGGGCTTAGGATGAGCTCACATCTGCTTTCAGGGCATGACGTTTCATGGTGGGCTGGAGCCGCTGCTCGTCCTCGGGCAGGAGCAGGCTGATGCGGAGCGTCCCTCCCTCCCTGCTGCGGGACCGTGGTTCGCCTGCCCAGTTTCTCCCATGTATGAAAACATCAGAAGGTCCCACGGGCTGGAAATAGCAGCTCAGGACAAAGCTGCTGCCGTGTGACAGAAGAGGAGCGAGACCCAGAGCGAGTGCATGCCTGGGGCAGAGGAGCAATGCCCGTGCAGAGGAGCAGTGCTTGGCATGGGGCATGCAGCGAGCCCCGGGAGGGGAAGATCCCCTCCAGATGTGAGCAGGGAGGCATGAGCTGCTCCTGGCTGCCTTCCAGGCAGGAAGGTAAAGAGAAGGGCAGCCATGCCTTAAAAAAGCTGTTTTACCTCCCCCTCTTTGCACACTATAACGCGGGGGTAGGAAACTCGCTCCACCTTGTGTGGCTGATTTAACAGGAACCAGATGGGGCTGGAGCTGCTGAGATCAAGTCGGGCTGAATTTGCACGTCCCTCGGCCGCTCTGGGGATGCAGAGCGGGCCGGGCTGCAGGCAGGGCTGTCCAACGCTGGTGTGTGCTTTATCAGTGGCTTCCCTGGGGCCAGGTGTAGGAAGAGAGGGGCCGGGGCAGGTCCCTGCTGCTGGCCATGCTCCGCATGTCTCCATCCACCGGGCCTGCGGGGCCATGGTGTGCTGCAGCATTAACTCTAAGAAAGCAGCCTTTGTCAGGCACGAGGCTAAGTCCGGTCACAAGGGACAGTATGTGTCAGAAAATAAAATATAAAAAAAAGATAACTTCAACTGCAACAGCGTTTTCAGGTCCTGGGTTATCGGTGAGGTCTAAGTTTGGCAGAGGGATCGTTTAATTTTAATTTCAGCCAGTGCTGTGAGCTGTCCCCAGCCTGGGGCCGGAGCTCCTGCCCACATGGGTGTGCCCGCAGCCTTTCGGCTTTGCCGTAACTGTGCTGAGATGACGGGTGACTTCTGCCGTGTCTGAAAAAGCATTCATCTCCTTTGGCGTACGTTTGCTGTGCTTGTTTCACTAAATACCTCCCTGTGCGATGGTCTGAACAGCCGAGCCCGGTGCCCCATCCCCACGTATCTGTTATATTCTGCATTTTTGTTGCTGGCTTGTCTCTGTGCTGGCTGCTCCGGGCACCTTCCCCGTGCTCCCGACATGGACGGGGCAGAGCTGCTTCTCTACTACTTCTGTCAAAAATAGGTGATGAAATAGGACAGTGTGGACCTGACTGTTACAGTGAATAAGTTGGCTGGTTGCAGGCAAGAAATATCTGCTGAAAAGACAGCAAAAGAAATATCGAACTGAAAAGACAGAATAAAACACAGATGGGCTTTTTCTGCACTCATCCTCCCCAAAAGCGTATCGTGCATTTTTATTTTTAAATCCACCCCTGT